GCATATGGAGAAATGTGTGTGGAAATACGACGAAACGTAAAGATAAAAGTTCAGGCGAGGGATTTACGATGAAGATAAACGGTCAAATTGTACGTAGTGCGATAGGCTCTATCTGAAATCGCTGATTTCGAAGGAAATTAATTTTCTTCGAATTGGAATTCTCCGCGTTCGAAAATTAATTTTCCTCGAATCACTCGATGTGATTGTGTGAATAAAATTAGTTTCCTACGTCTGATTGTAATGAACGTCGGGAGATCTCTCTCTTGCAAAAATGGCTTTTAAATAAAAATAAATCTGCATGCTACATTTACATTCTTCTATAATTATATTTCTTGCACGTGTTACGTGTTCAAATAAACACGACAACTTTACATTTTCCTTGCATTTCTTGCATGTATATTGCACATAAATGGGTACATTATCAAATTCATAACATCAATTATATTCAATTTGATTTATTGTTTTATTCAATATGTCATTAATTTAACTAAGACAACAGAGTTAAACAATTTAACTCAGAAAATGTATCGAATTGGAATCAAATTTAATTTTATTATTCACTAAGTATTTAATACGGACGTTGTTTACTTTGAAATTAAAAAATTTAACCCCAAAAAAAGTGATTTACATTTTAACATTTTTGATACACATGCAAGTTCGAAACAATTTGTTCACATTTCATTTATTTCTTATATATATATATTTGTGTTTCCAAATAAATACGATAACTTCACATTTCTCTTATATTTCTTGCATGAATAAACTTTTTTTTCTAGATGGTTATCCTTGACTTTACTTGAATTTACACTTGATTTCGCAAACTCACGATCCTACGTTCTTTAATTTGATAACACGGTCTTTCTCGGATATAAAGTTATAAATTTCTCATTTCGCAACAACTCTCGCGTGATTTCGCGGAGTCCTTTACTTCGGCAGATCCTTGAATACTTCACGAGTGAGGTGACTATTAATAGAAACGCGAATCATGAAGTGGGATCGTATGGGGCAAGGTTGCTAAAGGAGTGCCGTCGCCACGACTTCACGAAGTCGGTCGTACGTGCCTATTAATAAACAAAATTAATCGTATTTGCACAGATGCAATGTTGCAGAGCGTGCGATATCGCATGATGTTCACTTGATCCGATGAGACGTGATAGTTTTTGATCGGAGTATCCGATATATCTAATCAAGCTAATCATATAGTCCAGATATTAATCTGCAACATTACATAACGATAATTTGATGTGTATCAAATAAAATATTATCGTATCTTCAATCATGTATCTACAAAACATTATTAGGAATTAAATTAATAATAATAATAATAATAATAATAATAATAATAATAATAGCTTTATTGAACGCTGTACAGGTTTACAGTTAAATTGAAAGCAACTCGTATAGTGTATGACAAAATGGAATATCCAAAACATATTACAATAGACGTGGCTGATTTGATGGCTAACCTGAATAACTAATTGTCAACGATAAATAAATAACGACATGAAAGTTTACTGAATGCAAATATGCACATATAATATATTAGACATCAGATTACTGCTTTGTATAGTACAAGAATATCAAGTGAACTGGACGAAGTATACTATAAGTAAGATAATTAGATGAATAAATTATAATTATGAAATATTTAAGAAGTAGAAAGATAAACTAGTAATTCGATGAAAAGTACACAAGCACGATGAATTAATATAGAAACGCAAAGACACAAATTTTATTGAATTAAAATTCAATCAATGGGCTTAAAAGTTATTATGAGCAAAATTTCTAATTTTAAAAAAAACTGAGATTTAACCTTTAAAGAGCGGAGATTTTTACAAATCTTACAGCTTAATTTTCCTTGAGTAAGAGTTTGTTATCATTTATTATTTTATTATACGTTTACCTCAAAATATAACTATTTTAGTGCCACTATAATGGCTCTCCCTTGTTATAAACGTTAATGCTAGTGAATAAGAAACAGTAAGTGTATTAAAACCCAGCTTAACTCATCTAATCCTGCTCATATAATAAACACTAAGTGCATTAAAACTAAAGCTTATCTAAAGCTTGGATCATATCCTATGATTCTATTGATTATTAAGAATATCTACAATTATACAAATTTCAACTTTGGTTCCTGTTAAGAAGTAGCCTAAATCGTTTAACAATACTGTCTCCTTGTGGTATCTCTGTATCGATTTTCCTCCTCGGTCCTGAAATCACGACCGAGAGATTCCCAGCAGCCGAATTGTGGGCTTGATGCTGGACATCGCGCGGCTCGCCACGGCCCATGTCGAGGCCGAGGCCGACCGAGTGATGCCGAGCCGGGTCGAGCAGGGCCGAGCGGACAAGCTTAACGAGCTGGCGATGCGCGCGTACGTTTCGTTGCAACGCGACGCGACGCGACGCGGCTACGCGCGTAGCCGCGCGGAGCCGCGATAAAGCCGACGAGCAGAGCGGATGCGCCGTTTCGCAGCGGGTGACGCGACTGCAGCTGCACGCCCATTCAGTAGCGGCCATACATTACTTAAACGCCAAGGCGCATTCATTTTCGGCATAAATGAAAGCTTCGCTCGTCCAAAACGGGAAGTTTATTTGATTTGTGGGAAAAAAACAAGAAAACCAGAATTGAAGAGATATTGCTCGATTGAATATTGAAACGCTTAACCTTTCAAAATTGACGTCAAAATTTATAATACAGTACTGACCCTGAATCTGTAAAACCATTTAATTTGTGCTAATTAAAAAATACTAATTAATTTTAAGGGATCAGAATGATATATGAAAAAATAAATACTTTTTTCAATCGGCACAAAACTAAAAATAACATAAATTAATGTATAATTTCGCACTCAACAATTTACTATGATAACATTTGGTATTATGTAATAGTTATGAAGCGCGAAATTATAACGTTGATGTTAAATTACTTTTAATTGGTGTCGATTGATTGTAAGTCAGAGTATATTTTAATAAAAATAATTTGCAGACGTAACATAAAAAAAATTGAATTGCTTGACATTTTTGACAGAGATTTGTAATCGAGTGAGTCTAATAGGCTCATCGTTAACTCCGGAGGGTTAAATCTTTTGTGTTTAAAAGATAATCGATAACAAGCTGCCACGCGGAGTTGCCATCTAGTTTGTTTCAATGCTGTTACGAGTGTGAAACGATAACTTAAAACGCGAAAGTTTCAATGAAACAAGAGAAAAAAAGTTACTTTCTTAAAAAATAAAGAGATTTTATTGTCTCACATACGCGTACATGTCGATATTCTGAGAAAGTAATTCCTTTCCATTAAGTTCCAAAGGCTGTAAGATTAAAGTCGATATTTATCGTCGATTTTTATATATAAGACCTTCGTAAGTACGTAATCTTAAATACAATCTTAATCCTTAATATGTTATGATGAGTCATTCATGAGTTAATTCTCATCACGTTTAAAAGTATACAAAAAT